GGAAAGTGTGAAAATGCTTGAAAAACAGCCATACATTGTGTGTACATGTATGGATGACGTACATTGTACATGTGTACACAGTGTTTACTGCAGTGCATAGTGGGATAGAATAGGGGTCATCGGTGCGGTGTACAATGTACATCACAGCCATTGCACGCCTCGAGTAGGGGAAGTGGGAGACTTACGATTTAGTGAAGATTTCAAAGAACTGCCTTACAGAAGTGGAAATTTACCCATAATGCTTACGATAGCGGTGTAGGACGATGCTGACACCGATGATTCCCATCCTATCCCAACATGCACTGCGGTAAAGACTGTGATACATCATCAGTACATATCGGTAGGGCTTTTGGAGAACATTCTGGTATGTGGATTAAAGAAAATAATCCTATTCTAATGCATCTACATCTACTAAACATACATATGTACATGTACATGTACCTTGTGCAGGTTTCAAACCAGCATGATGCACAATGTACATTTCTGCTGACACTGTTACACTATCACAGACACAACTGCTTGGCAAACTACTCCGGTACTACATTTGCAAGAGAAACTGCTCACAATTTTCCTTCCCTGGGAAAACAAGGCTCATGGTACCATACATGTACCAACACAAGTAACGAGGATGCACAATTACCGTAAGCACGATGATGGCCTCGTTCACACTCTGCCTGAAAGTGAACACAATCAGGAATTGCTGATGTCAGATCAAATATTCGTGCTTCAAATTCACAAAAGTTGAACACATTTCAACTGAGCAGATGCAGCTGCCAATTTGTCATCAACTTTCTTGGCATCAAATTCTCTTTGATTTCCGCCCTCGTGCTCTCCCTCTGGGATAATCCGGCATTTACACCAACTTATTTTGAAATTTACACTTCCATCTGAAGGGCACACTTAACTACTGTTTAATTCTGTGTGGTTGACGAAGTTAGGGTTAATGGCATAAAACTGGCTCTATTAGCATCCATGACTACATGTACATGTACACATAATTTACGTGTATATTTAATATGGTATGCACATGAACATGCACAGTATATTCACTGTGAGTGAAAATGGGAAATTCTGTGAGAAGAATTTGAATTCATATTCACATTCCACAAGGCATGACAATATTTTCCCACTTGTGCGGAAAGGCCTGTAAATGTGTTCCCACTTGTGTAAAAAGTCATGAATACGGTCTCCCGATTTGTGGCAAATGCCTTGGAAAATGTTTTCTTACTCGTGCCAAAAAGGCATGAAAATGTTTCACACTTGTGTGAAAAGGTTGGAAAATGTTTTTCCAACTGTAGGAAATTGTTCTCCCTGTTTGTGAAATGAAAATCAATTCCCTGGAAGAGAAAAAGTGTGAAAACGATTTCCCATATCTTTCAATTGCAAGGGTAGGTTGGTGAATTGTGGAACCAATTTTTGTGTCCACTGTTCTCAAGTTAAGGCTGAAACAATGGAACTTCCTGACACTAAAAATGGATCCTTCTGATCAAGACAGAAAATCACTGACCAGGTGCTAAATGTTCACAAACTTGCAGCTTCAAATAGCACAGCTCTTCCAGAGCGGCAGGACAACATGAACAGAACGCCCAAGTAAAAAGCAGTGTCAAAGACCTTAACAAGTTTCACTACACCTATGCAAGTACACAAACAGTTAGCATCCAATTCCAAACTTTGGGTCAAAGGTTAAGAACACTTGGCTGCTTTGGCGAGTGACAATAAGCATTGCATCAGCAGTGATCATGCCAACAAACCTATCACTAGATCCCATTTCAAACCCTCAAACAACAAGGTCAAGTTCAGTCATTTTATCAAACTGAAGTACCTACAGCAACCTCTACATGAGCAGTGTATCACAAGTAAACAGGAAGTGGTTTACGCAATGGGTAAATCGTGATACATGTACGTCATATTTCGAGTTGAAATTTTTAAATTAATATCTGAGGCCAAACTGAATTGAATTGTCTGTGAACAGACTTTTCAAGTTCTAAACACAGCTGCGAATCATTCTTCAATTAGTTTTGACAATGTGAATGCAACCAAACTTTCTTCTTTTATTTCAAGTTTGACAAATATATGGGAAGGTGCACATTCATGTACATGTGTCTCAGCTTCACTCCAGGTCCTCTACAGGCACCACCACTGGCGATCCACGCCAACATCGCTGCTCCAGACCTCAAGAAAAACTCACATTCTTCATAGGTCATGTCCAGTGAAAAAGAGCAGAGGACTGGCATGGGAGCGCTAGCTGCTGTTAAGATCCATGCAGCGTAAGCGTTGTTCAATTTTCTCCCCAAATTGTCTCTTAAATTACAGTCTGAGTCACCCGAATTTTTTTTGTCCCGAATCCTGCGGCCTAAAGGTTTTGTACATGTACTCTACCTTGGGAGGTTATGGGCCAAGTAATAAAAATAAACACACCTTCATGTACATGTAGCACAGCAGAATACTTTTCCTGCTCTGTCAAGTTTGTTGTTACCAGTAGTCTGTCCTGTAGCAGTGTGTCAGCTTTACAATGTGCAGTGCACCCACAGTGCACTGATACGCAGTGCAACTATGCCAGGTCAAGTACAGTATGACTTTGCAGATAACCAACCATTGAACGGTTCCTGTAAACAAAACTTTTCATTACAACCCTTGATACATGAACCTTTGCATTTCTATTAAACTTATTTTCAATTTTTGCTTTATAATTTTAAAAGGTACATGTACTTTAATTGGCACTTCTTCATGCGTTTCTATTAATGCAAATTTTTCCAATTCACATCCCAAACCGTGATGCCATCCTGGGATGAACCTCAATGCTACATGTACCGTACATTGACTTGTGTGGCCACTTTTCTTGAAGTTTAGATATTTTACTGTCTTACCTCTCTGTGGGGTGATTCATCGTTGTGTAACTGCATGGCAATCATGACCAAACCTCTCTCAGAAATGTTTTCCATAAGCACATTTTGGACAAATTTACAATTCAAACAGAAACCCACGTAAACTGCAGAGTGTCTTCCCTGAATTGCATGACAAGAACAAGTGTCCTCAGTTGCCCGGAAAAGCAAGAACCCTTTTCATATTTCGAAAGTGAATTTTTCAATACACCTAACCTCAAAAGGATAAATATGTACATGTATGACAGTTTTTTCAAACTGAAGCAAAGTATGCATCAAAAGTACATGTACTCACAGTATGTAAAACATTAGATGGGTAGATATGAATGGTAAGGGAGGGCTTTTCTGAGCAAACATTGTCGGATTGTTACATGTACATAATGTTCATGCACACATACACATTTACACAATGCAAACTGTGGGAATGACCAGTAACAGTGACTGATGGTGGAATTATGCATACATGTACACATAATCATTCACATGCAAAACCTTTCCAATATTAATACAGGTATGTACATGTACATGTATATACATACAATAAAGAAGAAAAACCTCCAAAGGTATTTTTCAGACTCTTCCAAGGAATCAGGAATTGTTATCACAATGGTTAGAAATAACTATACTAACTAACTATTTGATAAAGAAAGATAGAAACAACTTTTAAAAAGCCTTCATCAAATATTCCAGCTACCCGCACATGTCCAGTGCCTCTACTAGCACATGTACATGTACACGTGCATGTACGGTGCTTCTGTACAAAGCAGATAGATGGAGAAGCCCCACCTCTGTGATTAACAAAGTACACCACCCAACAAAAGCCTGATGGCCTGATCCTGACTCTCTAAGGTCAAGGGGCCCTCACCAAGGTAATCTCAACGTGAACTACACCTGTGCGTGTACATTGTACAATGACCCACAGATAGTATTACCCTTCCATCAGTGATACCCACAAAAGTAACAGTGCCTGGTCATGGAAGGGAACCGTGGGGAAAGCGGTTTCTCCTCCCAGTTCAGAAACTTGAGGAAGACTATGACAAACAAGTGATGTGTAGCTGATTCGGGCTGGCCAAACTTATCAAATGAGGCCTCCTGATATTAGAGGTATCCACACATCCCCTCCCCAATGAAATAGGACCAATCATGGACCCTACATGTACCCTTTCTTCCAAGTTCTCACAATTCTATAATGTACATTCCAAAGACACTTCAACATGAGACATTCTCCGAAATCACAGACACGCTATGGTACGGGTACAAATGGACATATGTAAAATTATTGAACCCAAATTAAGATCTACATGTACATGTATGCATTTCTGAAAAAACTCCAAATGACAAAAAATATGCGAGGCGAATACAAAACTGCTCCAAGTATAATTTACGCATGACTACTGATGCATACCCTTTGCCTTTCACACTGTAAATTTTTTTTTTAAAGAAACTAGGGGCGTGCAACAGAAAGAAAGTGAGAAACAATTTTTTTTCTCAACAGGAGCAACCTTGTAATTTTAAATATTACAAAACGCATGATCAGTCACACGTTTGAATACAAGTTCAGCAAATTCAATTGCTCGGACACACATGTGCACCCTACATGTGCACCCTACATGTGCACCCTACCGGTACCTACATGTACAGAACATGAAATTTACCGGCACATAAAATAAATCACATTAAAAACATCTAAAATGCTAGAACTGAATGCACGATACGCAAAGTTGATAATGTTCACGCATGATCTTTTATGATGAAGCACTGTGCATGTAATTTGAGAAACAGAAGGGTCATTCTATAACTTCAGGGTCCAAAAATGTGACATTTCTGAGTCCGTGTTACACCTGACCTGTGTAATATGGAAATATCACTGAAATTGATTTCAAACTATTTCTATTTGTCTGGCAGGTAATTTGCATTAATTCTTCACTCTTGGAAATTAGAGAATGTGTTCTGAACTTACAAAATCATACATCAGATGTGACAGGAACACACATACGCACACACAAATTGGACCCTAAATTTATAGAATGACCCAGAAGGAAGATCTTTTTAAAAAAGGGAACAGTTTTATAACTTTTCAAGTGGGAAAAATGGAAAAATCTGACTAACTCACCGCACCTAGTGACATCTGATCAATGCAAACGCATGCACGGTGCCCTATTGAGCGTGTGCATACATGCACAGATACCGGTACTTTGCAGGAGGCCTCACATCAGACTGTGTGGGGTCGGTAGCACACAACACTGCTTCATATCCCCTCGCAATCACATCATATGGGCTCCTGCCTGAACATGTACATGTACAGTACATGTACATGCATGTACAGGTACAGATGCTGGATTCGGGTGATCCACTCTCCATCATTTCAAACCCTGCTGCAGACAGACAGGGTCAACGGCTTGTAAAGTACCGAGGGCGACGCTTGTATTTCCCGCACAGCCCTTTGTTTTTTCTCTACTCAGATTCTTTAAAACAAATTTGCCCCTAGTGCACGAGCTGGGGGTGCCCCATCCTTGCAGTGCAAAATAGCTTGCATAATGACTCCCATATACTGTACATGTATTACTGTTGTGTTTGCTGGCTGGCAACCTGACCGAACGCCCACACACATACTCGGCAAGCCTCAAGTTCACAGGGAGACCAAAAAAAATATGCTGTTATCAGTGCAGTCAGGAAGTGCACAATGACACTAGCAAGTAACTAGCAGTACACTTAACAGGCGACCTTTACAATGGAATCTCCTTTGGACGACAAGTAATTTTGAGTGTCTGGACAACATGTAATTTTGCATGTGGGAAGTTTATCCAAGGGCTTAAAAAAAAAGCGACAGCCTAAAGCACACCAGGACTAAATTTGGTAACTCAAAAGCATGGTAACCAGTACATGTGTGACTTAACACTAACGAAGGCTGACTTCACACAAAAATCTGACCACAAAATCATGCGCGCTCGTTCTTGCTTGTTTAACCGGGTAAATTGACATACATGTAAAACACTTCACACAAGTAGGAAGGGGCCACATTGCCAGGCAAGGGTGGCCACATCTCAGGGTTTTCCTTGAAATCAAAAGTTGACGCTTGACGAAACAAGGGGGACATGTCCTCTCCCCCCATCCATCACCCATCAAAATGCTCAAGCTCTCAATGTAAACTGGACACCGGTAGTCACCTCTGTTACCACGCAGTTCGGCACAAACAGTGCTGTATAGCGTTGTCCAGATTGTAGGAAATGCAGATACATGTCCATAAATTACTGGTACCATGTGCACTGTACTGACAAACAATAAAACCCATCATTTGTTCACATTAATAACAGTTCAGCAGCAGGGCAAAGGGGAGTGACCTTTTGTCACTGGTTCACGATATCTCTGACACCATGTTTTATTTTGTTTTGTGCACATACATACAATGTACCTGTAAAAGTACCTGGTAACAGTGTGTACAGCACCGTACTGTACATGTGTACGTTGACTAGTCATACAATATCTGTAGCACAAAACGCAGTAAAAGGGAGCCAGTAAATTACCAGCAAGTGCGCAGTGTCCCCATGTTGGTCCAACTGTGCTACATGTATGTTTGGTGTCATATGCGAGTTTATGCTAGTATGGCTCACAGATGTGTGTCTTAAGAGTTGTGAGAAATGTAAAAGAGAATGAGGGATTGACATGTACATCTATGGATACTCATGACTTACAGGTTTCTGTGGAAGAAATTGCATATGAAACTTGTACATGTACCTAAAAACTCAATGTACGCACAGGTACATGTACATGTAGATGTACATGTATCTTGCATGAGATTTGCTATGATACTCATAGACCTGTTTATTTTTCATAAAACAGAATTAACAAGAACATTATGAAGAATAGCAGATATGAAATAAAGGATCCAGGTAAAACGAGTATTATGCCTGTACAAGACCTAACAAACGGTAATTATTACAGACTTGTACATGTACATGTTCAACTTCAGTTACATGTAATACATGTACATGTACTGTATGAATACATTGTATGTACCAGGCTGAATTATATTTTACATTTGCAAAAACATGTAAGCTGCCACAAAATACAGATGAGTAGAGGTGTACATTAAATATGCACAGACACAATATATTGTACATATAACGATATAAAAATGGTTTCTCAAAAGATGAAATGTGGCTGATAGAGCATTCAGAAACAAAAGCAAAATTGTAACAAAAATCCAAATTGGGTGTTTTTAGAAACTGATTTGAGATGTTTATAAAATATCACGTACAGTGTATACATGTAAGAAAATCCTCAACTGCAGGTCCATTTCCAAGAATTTCCATCTCCCTTTGTTTTTTGAGAACTGCAGAAAATGATGGTTTGATTTACGAGTTCTCTGTGACAGCTTCCCATTTCAGCTGGTCTTTGAGCAACCCAAACCGGACTAATTTTTATGTGCCTGCATCACCATTTACATTGTAATGCAGCGGCATGCTGTTTTCTCTGCTCGCAAAAGGCAGCAAGAGGGTAGTTGAATGTGTATGGCTTTATCTCATTTACTTACAGGTAGTTCTACTGCCCTTTTCCTGCTCTTAAATCTTCCGTGCATACTAAGCACTAATTAGATTCTTCAAGGGCTTTTGTTTTACCACAAGTTCAAAGATATTTTGATGCTTTTTTATTCGTATGTTACAAGTACCAGTACAATTTACATATTACAATGTACATGAGCAAAAGTGTATCATGCAAGGCAGACACATCAGTAACACACATACGTGTACATGTACATAGCTTTTTCTGCACTAGAATTTGCCAGAATTTGGGTGATTTCGCTGAATTTGATTCACTTTAGTAACTTGTTGTTTCAGTTCAAGGGAATTGGCCTGTCAGCGAAGTTTTCTCAAACAAATTCCTTTAAGTTTCAATGAGCAAATGATGGGTTCAAAATTTGAACAAAAAATCCCCCAAATGAGCAATTTCTTCCTGTAATGACATAACGAAAAAAAAACCAGCTCCCTCATTTGTCAGGAGAAGTATTGAAAAGAGTAAAGTACACTTTTCAATGAGTAATGAGTTTCTGAAAAGTGACAGAAATCTTTCAGTGAAGTAAATTATTCTTTGAAAAATTCAAAAGAAATAGAAATTTTCATTAACAGGGCAAGAAGTATTGTTTGTCTCTTAAATTTTACTAAATCATGGCCAGAGATATTCCTAGACCTGAGAATCTATTATAGTGATTATAATGTACAATTGTGTGTGTTATTGCAACTGATATTGTACAATCTTTATAAGGTTTGTTCATCAACAATCCGCCGGTCGGTACAACCAAATATTCAAATTTTCCATCGAATTGAAGGTCGACTGTTCAAATGGTGAATTATTCGAATTGACTCAGCCCTATTCAAGTTTGTATCATCGTGCAAATCAAACAGGCGCCAAAATGCCCTAAAGTGGCATGAGTTAATGGGACCCAAGGGAGCATTACAAGAACTGCATTACATGCAGCTCCTGGACACAATACATGTGCAGAAAGTGTACACATGAACAGATGTGCAGTTAATGCATGTCACGTACACTACATTGTACCGCACATGTACACATGTACACCTACTTGTACCCGTATTATATTCTGTTCGCCTGCACATGCAGAATGCAACATGTACAAAAGGTGAGATCAGACAAAAAGGAAAGTTCACAAGAGACCATGACCTTCTGGTCGGCCTTTAATCAAAATCAGATGAGCTGTCACGTGCATCGTCATACGTGTACATGTAACCGGTAGGCAAATATCTGGTGTCAAACCATGATTTCACTTTCTGAATTATGAAACGAAAACCGGATAAAAACAATAACCAGCACTAGCAAGAGGAGAACACAGAGAGGCCAATTTGGCATTACGGGTACATATGTACTGTGCATAAAGGTACCGGTACAGTAGCAAGCTATCCGTAGTCTTTATTAGAAAACGTTTCTTGCCACTAATGCCCAGATGCGTCTTGCATGCCGTACACTTAAGTAACAAATTTCAACTCTTGTCAGCATCTTGATATTCCCATCTTTGTGTAAAGACTATTTCCGCCTTTTCAGTCACATGAAAGTGAAGCCACCATTTCCAGATCTGGTTACACTGCACTTACATCCAAGTCCCCTAAACACACACATAATATGCATTTTTTCTAAATCTTCATCCCTAAGCAAAAATACCGGTAGTCAAATAATTATTATAGACCACAACTGTTTACAAAAATGTGTGTTATGGTTCCTTGGCATCAACTGCCCACACGCAAAGCAAACCAACAGATGTACACTCTACATGTACGCATATTACTGGAAATAACAACACATGTACTAGCTCATGTACGGTACACATATAGATGTATATGTACATGAAATAAAATTCCAATTTTTGGAGCAGCACTAGGGTCAAAGCAGGATACATGTTGATGAGCTGACACTGGCTGTTTTGCATGGTGGTACGAAAACATCACACTGCACTTTGCAAATGACACACCAGTGGGAACTGGCTTGTATGACACCAGTACAACAGTGCTACGACACAGCATCACAATACAAAAGTAGTGATCAGGATACCTGACCATGAATATAATGAACAAACTTGGATAAAGGTCAGACTATTACAGGCACCAGAAGTCAGACGTGTATACTAGCAAGGCAGACCTTGCTAGTTTCATGTCCAGATTATCGGACGCCTACTCAACATTTGTGTGTCACAGTTTTAGAGAAGAGTGGGGGAGGACGGTGGGAGGGAAGGGCCCTGAACTGCGTGATAAAATGTCTGATCCCACCTTGATCCGAACATGCAGTTGGGCAGTCCCAGGGAAACACCAACTTCTGGGCCAAAATTTCAAACTGGTCCCAAATGTGACAAATTATATATCATTTTGAAGCTTATGGTGTATACTTTCATGAAACATACTTCATTTCTAACAACACTCAAGATTTTGGCTTTGTATGATACTGAAAAATTGGTTTTAAATACCGAGAAATGGGGAAAATATTTCCCCTCTGAAAGATTTTCAGTCTTTAAGCTTCCTGATAATTTTTTTTGGTTCCAGTTTTGTTACAGTTTGAAGAGTGCCCCAATAAGTAAACAATGACAGAAATGAATTTTCATTTTCCTTTTAAATTCTATGTAATGTCTTATTTTATAACACTTACTTTTCTTATGTACGTCCGACACCAAAATGACAGTTTTTTTATCCCCTCGGTGCACCCTTTAGCAAAAGACTGCCAAATTTACAATACAAAGCACAATGAGTTCCTTCTTTCTAGACATCAGCTTAACTCCCCCCGATTATTTTTTCGAATACTCAAAAATTGTGGAATCAGATGTGTACGTCCGACACCCTGTACGTCCGACACTATCAGAACCACTCACTGCTGGCAATGCAATGCTTTTACACTGTACAGAAACCACTATCACCTCATTTGCATACATGGAAATGAGGTCCCAACCTTTTGTAAAAGTACCAAATAGACTTCACTTTTGTTTTTTACTA